GACAAAGAACAAATCCAAGATAGCTGCCTAGAAGTTCCTGAGCACTAAGCGTCTTGCACACATAATCCTTTTAGTCTGTAATAATCTTAGAAAGTAGGTACAATGGTCACCATTTTACAGATGAAGAAGCTGAGGCTTAGCAAGATAAGTGAATGGTCCAAGGTCACACTATTAGGAGATAGTGCCAGTATTTGAATTAAGGAATTTAGGAATCACTCAGCTATCTCCGTTCCTGAGGTCTCAGTTCTAGGGATGAAAACAAGATGGTGGTGCTATTAAGAGAATTAGATTTGGCAAGACAAGGAACTCTTCTCAGGGAGAATTTGGTTGGCAAAGGCTGAATTTATGTTAATACCTGGGTCTCTGAGAGGTTATGTTTTCGAAGGTGTGTTAGCCAGCTTTTCATCACTGTAGGAAATACCTGAGAGGAGTCCTTGAGAAGGAGGACAGTTTATTTTTGTTTTGGAGGTTCACAGGCCAAGCTTGGGTGGCCCCATTGGTCTGGTGTGGGCTGGGGGCTGTGTATGGTAGAACACGTGCAGAGGGAGGATCCTATGGTGAGGTAGAAAGCAGAGAGGAAGCATAGTCATCAGCTATATCTAATGTGGTCTCTCATAAAGCCACCATGATTCCATCATAGTGGCTGCACTCCAATAATTCAATCCAATCTGATCACTTTCCATGGCCCACCCTTAGACACTATCATTGAATTATGTTCCATCCTTGATCTATTCACATAAGACTTTGGGGAGCAAGCTCTTAATGCATGGGTCATTGGTAGGCACCAAACTTGTTGCAAGCCATGCCAGCAGGGAATTAGAAAATGTATTATGGATGGAGATTTAGATTTGAAAGTAATTTTAAGTTTCTCTCTCTCTCTCTCTCTCTCTCTCTCTCTGTGTGTGTGTGTGTGTGTGTGTGTGAGAGAGAGAGAGAGAGAATTAAGGGAAAAAATGATTTGTGGGCAAGTCCTTGAGGGAATGCCTATGTTGGAAAAACATAGGAAAATGACAGTCAGTGAAAGAGATAGAAAAAAAGGTCATCAGAGGTTAGAAGTCAGATAGAAGTATACTTTAGAAGCCAGAGGAGAGGTTTCACAAGGTCAGGACGCATATGTTGCAAATTCAGAGGTGGAAGGAGGTAGAGCACAGAGAGATGTATATTGGATTCGACAAGGAGGCATTCACTGGTGAGCTTTAAAAACAGTTTTGACAGGATTTTGGCAGGTTTGTATGGGTAAAAGGAGAGGCAATGGGCATAGGCAGGTTTTTTTTGGAAAAAAAAGAAGGAACAGTGAAGGGAAGAAGGATATTGAGTGGTAGCTTGGCAGAAGGTTGGGATTGAGGGATGGGAAGATGCAGAAAGCCAAAGCAAAGCGTGCCTGAAGAGGAGAGATGTGGGCCACCAACACATGTGAGAAGATGGATGACAGAAGATCATGGGGAAGGAGGAGGGACTGGGTGAGCTCTGACTCATGTATTTATTCCTCAAAGAAACAAGAAAAGAAAAAGAAGACTGGGGAAAATACCGACAGGTAGGGCTAAAGGGAGCGTAGGAACGGGACGTCAGATGGCTCTGGTCTGCTTGGTGAAGTAGAAAGGTAATGAGCATTCAGGTGAATGGGAGTGAGATGGTGTCCATGAGCTTCTTCTCTGTTGAGTGTTACACAAGGAAGTGGCAGCTGTGGACTGGGAAAAGGACAAAGCCTGACCAGTTGGTCCAGACTAGGTGAGTGTGTGATTTGGGGTTTGGACAGCAAGTTGCACTGTCTTGCCTGTGGGTGCTCTGGTAGTGCACAGCCCCAGGGACCCATCCGAAAGAGCTGCTGATCACAGGCTGAGATTAGGTGACATTGATAATAAGAAAAATGAAATATAAGCCATCCAGTCAATATTTCTTTTTAACTGAGAACCCTCTGTGGACTGGATAGTGTGTGAAGTTATAGGTTAAAAATTACCTAATGATATATGATTCAGACTTGTCAATAATTTAGACAAATCACCACAGTTCATTTAAAGTAGAACTGTAGCTTGATGGTGAAATATAAACAAGGCCCTATATTTTTAGAAAGAAAAGAACCTCATTGAAGTGGGAATATGTAATGCGGGGTGAAAATGTTCTCTATTGTGAATAATTCCTTTATTGGATCTCATTTACCTGGATTTATGTATAAACACCTAAATGCTGGTCACACATGGCAGTCATGACTGGTGGAGTATGTTTCCCATAGTAGAACAACTAAGACTTCATTTAAAGGACAGTTTTCTTGCAGCTCATGATCTGTTGCACAGATGAAAATGCAGCTGACATTTTGCTGTGAATTTCTTGCGTATTCTAGCAATGTGGAAGTGGTTGGATGAGTATGGAGCATTGCGAGGGAATAAAAAGGACTTGAGAACAAATCTTTGAGGGGATGCCTCCAGTAAGACAATAAAATAATAATGCCAAGAATAAAATAAAATAGCAGGTGCCACATTGTGAATTCCATGGGTGGTACTTGTGAAGGGATAAATGCAGTAACCCAAATTCTTCTTGAGCCAGGGGGTCGATAGCATTTATGGAGTGCTCATTAGGTATAAATGGGATTTGAGGCAATGAAAGGTGGGGAGACACAGTCTCTTCCCTCCCTGTGAGCAGCAGAGCTGCGATGGCAAAACACCATAAAGGGCGCTGGAGTTTCTAGTTCAAAAGCCGGATATGGAGAGTCTCATAAAACCCCGTCCCAGGCTCTTGGGTTTGAGCTCCTGGAGACTCAGGTGTAGGCTAGAAAGACTGGCTATCTCAAACTATGTGAACCCGCCAATCAGGTTAAGAGCCAAAAGGACAGGGTGATTAGGGCTGACTCATAAATGCTCACAAAAGTAGAAGAATGTGTGTCGGGCACGATGGTGAGTGAGGCAATGTATTGGAACGGCTTTAAACAACCTGTAACTACTCTGGGAAGAAAAGGTGCAATATATTACTGAATCATTCATTAAACTAACCGTGCTCTTAAAGTTCCAGGAAAAGAATTTTATTGCACAAATGTCCTCTGGCTAAGGATAATGTGTTCCAAGTGCTTTTCATGTTTTGACTGTCTTGGGCTGGTGACCCGTCCCCTGGAGAGCACATTTTCTCAGAAGTTGATCCCAGGAGTTCAGCCCTCACTTAAGGGGAGGGGATTACAACCGGCTATGAATATCAGGGGACAGGAATCACTAGGGACCTCCTAGGTCAGAGACATGCAAGGCAGGCACAGTGAAGCTCCTCTTATTCTCTGCCTTATTCTTGCTGGCATAGTTGTCACTACCAGTAAGTACTAGACAGAGCCCGATGTCAGATGGGCTGACTGGGCTGGCTGGAGCTGGGGGGGGGGCATCTTCTTGGAAATTGCCCACTAGGGTTGGCTTGGGGGAGCTGTACAGTTCTGGAAGTGATGTGGCTGCCTGTGGCCACCCCTGATTTGCTTTGCCTTACTGACCAATTCTGCACTTTTTCATACTGGTACCCTTCTTATGGACATCTTTTGCCCAAGATCCATGCCCTGGCCTGTCCTTTCAACCACTTGTCTGATGCATTTACATAACTTTTGCCTCATGTAACAATCACACCTCTCTTATTGCTTTGACAAAGCAGCTTTTGAAAAGTGTGATGATTATGTGAGAAAATACACTATTTTCCCCCTGCTAATTGGACATTTTAAAATCTTATACATGAAGAATGAAATAAGAAATTATATATTCTTTCCTTTAATCAAGATCAGGGTTAGCATTTTTTTCTGTAAAGGGCCAGATAGTAAATATTGTCGGTTTTGTGGGCCATACATTTTCTGTCATACTCAACTCTGTACTAAGTGCTTTTTGCTAAGTGATTATCACAAAGTTTATTAATCCAGTTGGGTGTTGATGGACATTCATTTTTTTTTAATTTTAATTTTTTTTTTGACAGGCAGAGTGGACAGTGAGAGAGAGAGACAGAGAGAAAGGTCTTCCTTTGCCATTGGTTCACCCTCCAATGGCCCCCGCGGCCGGTGCGCTGTGGCTGGCACACCACGCTGATCCGAAGGCAGGAGCCAGGTACTTCTCCTGGTCTCCCATGGGGTGCAGGGTCCAAGCACTTGGGCCATCCTCCACTGCACTCCCGGGCCACAGCAGAGAGCTGGCCTGGAAGAGGGGCAACCGGGACAGAATCTGGCGCCCCGACCGGGACTAGAACCCGGTGTGCCGGCGCCTCAAGGCGGAGGATTAGCCTAGTGAGCCGCGGCGCCGGCCCGGGCATTTGGTTTTTTTGTAGGCTTTGGCTATTGTGACCAACACTGTTGTAAATATTCTTGTATATACAGGCAGTCCTTTTGGAATTCCATGGAAATGGAATTAAAATGTTTATTTTGGTGCCAACACCGATTTTCTATAAACTTTTTGAAGCCTTTTCATATTTACATTAAGTGTGTATTTATTGAATGTCTATACTTAAGAGTCAGTTTTCCAGGTAGTAGGCAAGTACATCAGCTCTAATAAAAACAAGTTGAGCATCCTTAACCCAAGAATCTGAAATCCAAAATGCTCCAAAATCTGAGTTTTGAGTGTGGACATGATGCCAATAAGTAAAAAACTGCACACTGTGAAACTCTGTTTCATGCACAAAATTATCAAAATATTATATAAAATTTCCTTCAGGCTATATAAATGAGGTATATACATAAATGTACTTCATGTTTAGACTTGGGTCCTGTCCCCAAAATAATTATTAGGTATATGCAAATATTCCAGAATCTGGTCCCAAGCATTTTAAAAAAGGGATATTCCCAACCTGGACTGCCAAGTTGTTTCCCTGAGTGGCTGTACCACTTTACCCTCCCACCAGCAGTGTAGGGCAGGTCCCTTTTTTTTTCTTTCATCGTAATCACCTGAGTGTACCGTCTGACTTTGAGCCAGGTAAACTGTGACTGTGACTGAAAAGCAACCCAACCCCGGGGCCCTGTTGCCTTGCACACCTTACTCTGCTCATTTCCTCTCTGCCAGGGCTGGCCTGTGAACCTCATCACGGCAGATCGTGTGTCCCCACTCCATGAAGCCTGCCTCGGAGGGCATCTCTTGTGCGCAAACATTTTATTAAAGCATGGAGCTCAGGTAAGTGCAACCGACATAACATCCGAGAAACCAAGCATGAGAAATGACTACTTCTATTCCTTCTGAATAATTTCCAGCCTTTTTGATTAGCCTGATTTGAAATATGAAGAGGGCTGTTTATGGACATCAAGTTTGTTTGTGTTAGTGGTGGATGAAATACTGAGCTTTGAGCTAGAAACTCATGTTAGAGTATATTTAAGTTTCTAAAAGGCACTACTAATAAATAGCTGGGAAACTTCTGCCTTCATTGCAATGACTGGAAAATGATTAAAATAGTGTAGAAAGCAGCACAACATTTGGCTGGGATGACTGGAATGTCTGGGGAGACAGAAAATCCTTGTGTGGTCTCATCCATTAGTAGGCAGCCTGGACTTGTTCAGGGCTTACGTGGGAGCAGAGATTGCAGGAGCAGCCAAAAGGGTGAGCTGTCTGCTTGCATCACATTTGTTACTGTTCCCTTGGCCAACACCAATCACGTGGGCAGGTGTAGATTCAGGGATGAGAAAACTAGCGTCAGGCTTGTGATGGGAGGAGTTGCAAAGCTATGTTGCCAAAGGGGATGCTTCCCAGGATAAAAATAATTGGTGTCTAAGCTGAAACCAAAGAATCTGTTGAAGTTGGTCTGCCGAATGGTGCCTTGGGGGAAATTGTGGGCTACCTACCCACCTCGAATAGCAAATGCCAGTGCCGGGAAGTGAAGTTTGCCAGAAGCAAATTTCAAGTCATTCCCTATGGCAGGAGAGTGAGTGGGTGGGTGAGAGGGTTCAGAACACAAGCAGCCTCATGCACACCAAGAAAATGGGCTTTGTTCTGAGATCAGTAGAGAGCTAGAGTTGGGCACATCACCAGGATTATGTTGGGGTTAAGGAAACTTATTCAAAGCTGGAGAGAGGGCCAGGGTCAAGGTGAAGCAAGACAGGTACCTCAGGTAGAAACTTTACAGAGGTGCTCACTCCTGGTGGGGGGACACTCATGGGGCCCTGAGGGTGAGTGTCTCCTTAAGCGTTGTATCCTGGGCATCACTTATGCCTCACTGTAATCCTGGCCTTGCTTAGAGGTAGAGTGTGAGAATGAATTTATTATCACTGCTTAACAGAGCCACCAGTGAAGTATCTAAAGACACAGAAGAATATATCTTCACTTGGCTTTGCCATTCACCATTTGATTGTAGCCCAAAGACTGTGAAGCGAGATGTTAATTTGTAAATTTTGATCTGATTTCCAACTTTAGAAGAGATAGCCCCAGACAGCATAGTCTCATGGTCCTAGGACATTAACCAGTTATACATCTATGAGGACACTTCAAAAACTATATGGGGAAATGGAATTACTGGTTAAGTTTACTTCGGCCTCAAACAAATGAAACTTATGCATAGATTCTTCATAATATGCATTTTCCATGAAATTTTTGAAAACTTCTCATATTTACAAATGGATTTCAGCAGTCTATTAATTGACTATAAGAATTGTCATAGGATTGGAGAGGGAGTAGGAGGTGGGATGGGAGTCGGGGTGTGAGGGAGGGAATGGAGGGAAGAAACACTATATCTCTAAAAGCTGTACATGTGAAATCTGTACTCATTAATAAAACCTTCAAAAAAAAAAAAGGATTTCTAGTCCAAAGTTCATCCTGGCCTTGGCTGTGCTCCGATTATCTATTAGCTGAGCAAGTCATTTACCCTCACTAGGCCTCAGTTTCCTCAGCAGAAAAATGAGAACTTGCACTGAGCATAGTAAAACATTCTTTACCAATGTGGTCTTTTATTAATCCTAAATAATTTACAGAACCCTAATGGCTCATAATGGGTTTTACCTTTACAAAGCTGTAGACATCTTTTTCACGTCTGTCTGGGGTTGGGTATGGGAATGTGCCAGAGGAGACATATTTCATACAGTCTTCTTCATCTTTTGTCCTGACCTGAGTGATAGCTTTCAGACATGCCAAATTATATACCTATAAAAGATGAAAAAACAGGTGTAAAATGCTTTCCTGAGCTTCCTTGGATGAACCTAGTAAAAAGAAGTAATGTGGCCAATGCAAATCATTTCTTGAGTGTGTTTATTATCTATTACAGAGTTTTTGTAGATATTTTCTTTTGAAGAGTAGTTTGTCCTAAGTGTTTACCATGTTCAAGAAAAAACTTAAACTGAAGAGTATCAGAAAGCATCAAGAGAATGCTCAAATACTTATATTTGAGGGAAATAATATTTATAATATTATAAAGGTATTAAATATAAATGTAATCAAATATGTTTATACTATATCAGCGAGTTAATATATAGAATTTCACTACATAAAAGGTGACTAAACTAGTTTTATGGGTATTACCCTCGAGGACCACACAATTTTAGTTATGTTTATCATTGGAGTAGGTAGAAAGCAATGTTGCTACTATTAAAGGGGCTTGTATCTACCCATTTTTTTACCTTTGTATGTGGAATGGAAAAGGAATTTCCTGTTCTAAATAGTTACATAAACAATCACATATCATCTATCTACGTCAGATCAGTGTAGTCCAGGTACTATTTGTGGGATGAAATGTCTGAAACGTTTTGTCCAATGATGTTCCACAATCCTCTGTTGTCCCATATGCGCTCGAATATGAGATCTTTTTCTACCAAATTATTGCTCAGAATTTTTTTGTACTTTGGTCCTTGCAGTTTTTTTCCATGTTATAGAACATTGTCTTGATTACTTGAGAGCCACCTAAGTTATCTGAGATAGGACACTGTAACAGTCAGTGTTTGTGCTCTGGCTGGTCATTCTACTCAAGCTCCTAGTAGATTGATTCAGATAGAATTAGACATTTGGGTCATTAAGTCTTCATTTTTCATAAAGGTATGTACTCACAATTTTCATCATATAAACATTATTGATTTTTTAAAATTCTTAATATAAAGAGAACAGATTTCTTGTATTTCATAGGTACAGTGTAAGAGAACCATATTTCCCTCCATTCCCCTCTCCCTCCCTCAATCTGCCTTCCTTCTTTTTTGTTTTTTTAAATTTTTGCAAAAACATAATATAAATCTACTATATAATCACATGCTTAATGCACCACTAATCATAATATTCAACAAGTAAAAAGTAGAAAGACAACACTATTGATTTTTTCTATCTTAATAAAAGTTGATGCTGGCTGGCGCTGTGGCTCACTGGGCTAATCCTCTGCCTGTGGTGCCAGCACCCCGGGTTCTAGTCCCAGTCAGGGCACCGGATTCTGCCCTGGCTGCTCCTCTTCCAGTCCAGCTCTCTGCTGTGGCCCGGGAAGGCAGTGGAGGATGGCCCAAGTGCTTGGGCCCTACACCCACATGGGAGACCAGGAGAAGCACCTGGCTCCTGCCTTCGGATCAGTGCAGCAGGCTGGCCGTGGCGGCCATTTGAGGGGGTGAACCAACGGAAGGAAGACCTTTCTCTCTGTCTCTCTCACTCACTGTCCACTCTGCCTGTCAAAAAAAATAAAAATAAAAATAAAAAATAAAAAAAGTTGATGTTTAAATTCTCCAAAAAAAATTGTCATAGGGTTTTTCACATATTCACAATTATTGATTATTATTTGACTATTAATTATTATTAAGTGACTATAAGAATTTGAATCAGCCTTAACCTTCTTACTGGCTCCCCCCATTAATGAATGAGTTGAAAAAAAATCTTTGGCATGTGTTAACTTCATATCTGCATTTAAGTAATGTAATATTTTTAAAAATTAAATTTAACAGTTTTAGATGATCCTGGCTGCATTGAGGAAACTGGATTGATGTGGGATAGGTCTAGGATGAAAATTCAAAATAAGGAAATTTGTTTGTAAGCTATTAAAAATGGTCCTAACTAGTTTCAACTTCATGATCCCAGGGAGGGTACAGAGGAGATAGAATCTTTGGTAACACTTTTGGCTCCTTACATTCCATACCTCATTCAGGGAAGGCTTAGGGATGTTAAATAGTTATCTTGAAAGGGAGGGAGGCTGGACTTGAGCGCTGGCCACCTCACAGCTTGTCTTCATCCTGGAGCTTTTCTTGCAGGTGAATGGCGTCACTATGGACTGGCACACTCCCTTGTTTAATGCTTGTGTCAGTGGCAGCCAGGCTTGTGTGAATTTGCTTCTGCAGCATGGAGCCAGCCCCCATCCTGAGAGTGATCTGGCGTCTCCCATCCACGAAGCTGCCAGGAGAGGTGAATCTTCCTTCCAGCGACACCTTACTGTTGAAAGAAGGGGGAAAGAGGAAGAATATTTTAGAGATGTAGTTCTCAAAATGGGGTCCTGGGGCTAGAAGTTTCGGCATGACCTGGCTTGCAAATGCAGAGTTCTGACCTCACTCAAGGCCCAGGGAAGTCAGTCATTGTGGGCGGTCATCTGTGTTGTATGTAGCAAGCCCTCCTGGCGATTCTAATGCACAGTAAGTTTTAGAACCTCCCTTTGAGAGCAGTATTCCTGAGACAGGACATGGCAGAGAGTCAAATATCCACCAGTGTTTGTGGGCTATATTGAAGAACCCATGACCCCATCAAAATCGAGTTTTTTTTTTTTTTTTTAAGATTTTATTTTTTATTTATTTGAGAGGTAGAGTTACAAAGAGAGAGAGAGAGAGAGAGAGAGAGAGAGAGAGAGAGAGAGAGAGGTCCTCCATCTGCTGGTTCATTCCCCAGATGGCTGCAATGGCTGCAGCTGTACCAATCCGCAGTCAGGAGCCAGGAGCTTCTTCTGGGTCTCCCATGCAGGCACAGGGGCCCAAGCACTTGGGCCACTTTCTACTGCTTTCCCAAGTCATAGCAGAGAGCTGGATCATAAGTGGAGCAGCCAAGACTCGAACCAGCACCCATAAGGGATGCTGGCACTGAAGGCGGCGGCTTAGCCCACTATGCCACATACCAGCCCCTAAATCAAGTTTTTTCTAAAACAAATTATGTTCTTCTCTTAAAGAGTATTGTCTAAGGGCCACTTAAGTTTGCCAAGTGAAACAGACTTTGAATTTTTGGAACTATTAGATGTTGTATGCACTTCAGGGTGATTCTGTTCATAAAGCTACAGTTTTCTTGAAATTCTTAACTTGGAGATGAAAAATAAAGTTGCAAATTTTGCTTTGCTCTGATGTTTATCATCGTCCTCTTCATGCCCACGACTTGCCAGAGGGCTTTTTATTACCCTGTGCCTTTCACAGAAAGGCTTCCCATTTCACTGCACCACTGCAAGTGAGAACGAGCTCCTGCAGCATTAATATTTATTTATTAGGAGACACGCAAACCCCGCTGATTCACTGGGTACATTCAATGAAACTGAAATCACAGGAAAACGTAAAGGAGAGCAGTTGAAAGTGCGGACCACGCTCTTCCTGAAGCTGACTGGGTGGGCTGGGCTCTACTCATGGACTTGGCAGCTCTTTCTAAGCCTTGCTTGCATCCATTTCCCCAGGCCTGCCCTTGGTGAGGTGGTAAATCGCCTACACCATGCCCTTTCTTTGCCATGTCCACCTTCGGCCCCTGTTCCTCCAGAGTACTCCTCAGCCGCCACTTCCATGTCTGTATCTGTGCCAATTGCAAAGCCACAAGCCACTGATAAAGGTGGATGGCTGCTGCCTCCTTACCGAGGCTAGCAAACTCAGTGCAATTGCACCCACAGCTGCGACTGCATCTTGGGATCAACTCATTCCCTAAAATCATTCCATATTCTAAGTAAAGGAAATAGCCTTTGTCCCAGGATAAATTGTTAACAAATTTAGACACACAAAACCTGGGGATGATATTGTTTCTCTTGCCAAGGGAACTTGTGCTGTAACTGTTCTCTCTTGCTTTGGGCTGCAGGTCACGTGGAGTGTGTTGAAGCTCTTGCAGCTCACGGGGGCAACATTGACCACAACATCAATCACATGGGAACACCTCTCTATTTGGCTTGTGAAAACCAGCAGATAGCCTGTGCCAAGAAACTCCTGGAGTCAGGTAAAAAAAAAAAAAAAGGCAAAACAAGGACAGAGAATGAAAACTCAATTAAATATATTTTAAAGATCTTTCCATTGTAGTGGAGCAAGGAATGTGAGTGATAGAGTTGGACAGGATTAGGGTTCAAGTTGATTGTGTTTCCAGGGGGAACTGTGTTACACTGTTCGTAGCTCATTTCTCACACTTGTAACCAAGATGATGTTGATGGCGATGACACGTCCTTCCAGGGTGGTCCTCAGTGATGATTGGTTTTTCCTCTCTTCTCTGCTTTTCCTTCTCTGATCAGTCATATTATTAGACTCTGCATACCTTGTAAACTGGCTGCATTTGGGCTGCATCTTCTGATTTGGGACCTTCTTTTCCAGTTCTCTTTGGGAAATGGAACTTGCCCCATTTTTGGTCCATTGTAAATATATTTTCTTTGTAAAGCTCTGTGTACCATCATGCCTTTTCACTTCCCTGCTGTTGTCCAGCTCCATGTCCTCACTTCCTTCATTACTGGAGTCCTTTCTGCTCTTTAAGATTCCAGTAACCTCTTCTCCCACTGAATATTTCTATTATCCTTATTGCCTTCCACTCATTTGGCAGCCATTGCTACGAATTATGAGGTTGATTCTTATCCTGCTTCCCTAATGTGCGCGCGCTCTCTCTCTCTTTCTCTCTCATACACACACACACACCACACACAGAGCCTTATATAGATTTTAAGATCCTACCCAGGAAAGTGCCATGTTTGGCATCCGTTACAAGGCAAAGAACATGGAAGACCAATCCAGTTAACATTTGCTGAGTGCACGTAGATTCTCATTTTATTACAGGGACAACAGGTAAGGCAAAGCCATGTCTCCAGATGTCACAGTGAGAGCCAGGAGGTGGGCTGGGATGAGGATTTGTGAAGAGTGCATGGGTGCAATTATGTGGGGATGGTTCTGGAAATCTACCTTATTCCTGCTGAGAACATGGTCACCTGCTTTGTGACCTTGTGGTTGGCCCTCCTCATCTAGGAGACGCCCCCTGAGCTGGTAGCTTGTCATAGTCCAGACCACACAGTCCTGAGTGCCAGGTTTTAAACCCTATGGTAGCTGCCCCGCTTGTGAATTTGGCTGCTTGCATAGATGAGATTTCACCATCTAGCCTCATTCTGTTTACTAGCTAATATGTAGGCTCCATTAATAATACATGCGCAGCTTTCATGTCACCACAACTTCACTTACATTTGTCATGCCTATGTATAGTGGCAAACATGAGTTTTTAACTTCATATGCTACGTGGTTTCTGCTGCCCATCAGATCACATTGTCAAGTGGCATTTTCCCTATATTATTAAATGGAATCAAGTCAACTCCCATTTTCTCCAGATCACCCTTCTCACCAGGGAACCCCTTTGGTCAGGGACTTTGGGGGCTGAGTGCTTTGAGAAGACAGGTGGTTGGACTGTACTCCTCGGCTGACCATTTTTGTTCCCATGCCTGTTTAGGAGCAACCGTGAACCAAGGTAGAGGTCTGGAGTCCCCTCTTCACGCAGCAGCCAGGGCGTCCAGTATGGAGCTGGCTGCCTTGCTCATGGACTTTGGAGCAGACACCCAGGCTAAGAATGCCGAAGGCAAGCGTCCTGCAGAGCTGGTGCCTCCAGAGAGCCCTGTGATGCAGCTCTTCTTGCAGAGAGAAGGTGCTTCTTCCTTGCCCGAACCTAAGTCCTAACTCTAGACTCCTATGGGCTCTAGTAGGAGGCAAGTAGTTCTTGAGTTCTAACTGCCAGTTCTGTAAATGATCATCCTCTGCTATTACTCAGTGTGGGGAAGTTGAGCTAATTGAGTAAAGAGGTACAGGCACCGCACTGCGGCATAGTGGGCTAAGCCTCCACCTGCGGCGCCAGAATCCCATATGGCCGCTGGTCCTAGTCCTGGCTGCTCCTCTTCCGATCCAGCTCTCTGCTGTGGCCTGGGAAAGCAGTGGAAGATGACCTAGATGCTTGGGCCCCTGCACCCGCATGGGAGACCAGGAAGAAACTCCTGGCTTCGAATTGGTACAGCTCCAGCTGTTGTGGCCATTTGGGGAGTGAACCAGCGGATGTAAGATCTTTCTCTCTGTCTCTCCCTCTCTCTGTTTATAACTCTATCTCTCAAATAAATAAAAAATAAAATCTTAAAAAAAAATAGGTACAGTACCGGTTATGTAGCAAATGACCATCCTGCTGTTTGGAATAAGCTGATATTCTTACCTGGGGTAGATGAGTTTTCAAAGAATTAAGACATTCTTTGAGCATTTTTTTTTTGACAGGCAGAGTGGACAGTGAGAGAGAGAGACAGAGAGAAAGGTCTTCCTTTGCCGTTGGTTCACCCTCCAATGGCCCCCGCGGCTGGCTCGCTGTGGCCGGCGCACCGCGCTGATCCAGAGGCAGGAGCCAGGTACTTCTCCTGGTCTCCCATGGGGTGCAGGGCCCAAGGACTTGGGCCATTCTCCACTGCACTCCCTGGCCACAGCAGAGAGCTGGCCTGGAAGAGGGGCAACCAGGACAGAATCCGGCGCCCCGACCGGAACTAGAACCCGGGGTGCCGGCGCCTCAAGGCAGAGGATTAGCCTAGTGAGCCGCGGCGCCGGCCTCTCTTTGAGCATTTTAATATTAAAGTTGTCTAAAACAACTAGAATGATGGTTCTTTGGGGTTGTGTGATGCCTCAGGATGTCTTACTGCCCTACAGATGGGCCAAACTGCTGAGCATTTGATTTCTGGGATTAAAGTGCCACTAATTAATAGTGTAGGGAATTTCTTGGAGGATTCACACCAATCCAGAGACATTTACATTTGTACGTTAACCAACTTAGTCCACACTCCTCTGTGGAAAGTAACCGACAGTCTCAACCCCAACAACTGAACATTCCTTGGGCTTTGAGTTTGGAGGCAACTCAGGTTGAGGAGACACCTGCTTGCAGTCTTAATTGCCCCAAGAGGCAGCTGAGCAGCCAGCTCAGTCCTGCTTTCTCACCAGACTGCGGCCTGTTTTAAATTGTAGGGGTGCTGGGATTTTTGGAGCAGCCTGCCCCACCAGAAGGATGCTGGTGCCTTGTGATCTGGTGATTTTGTCCCCGATTGCTGAGAAGTGTGGCTGGCTCGAGGCAGAAGCTGTAACCTGGGCCTTCCTGCTACACCCACTGCCCCGGGATGCTGAGGGCAGCCAAGCTCCTGCCTTGAAGCTTCGCCAAACAAGACAGTGTATTACTGCAGGGCAGGGGAGCGTACAGGGAAGACTGACCCCGCCCCAAGGAGCAGACCAACTGAGACCCTTTCTGTCAAGCAGTGGCGTAATCACTGGGAAGGTCTACATTTTGATCATCTCCTGTTTTCCTCTAATTCTCTCAATACCCAGGGCCGAGTTCTCCATCAGGCACAGATGGCACAGTGCCTTGGGCCCACAGGAATGTCTTAACTTCTTTTAAAATTGGAAGAAAAAAATGCATAAAGCTCAACCTGGATTATGCTCATCTTTCTACCAACACTGTTGTAAAATATGATTTTTTTTTTAATTGGGAAAGGGTTCCACAAAGGCAAAAGGGCCTCAGGGTCTCCTAAAGGCATCACGTAGGATGCGTATATCCCCTTCACTCATCAGATGATCTCATAGGATTTTCACGTTGCCTTCATTGGCTTCTCCATCTTGATGTCTCAGAATTGCCTTTGCTGCCTTGGCTTCACATTTCGCATGGTGACAATGTGGATAAAGAGTCCCATTGGTCTGTTAAGTGTCATTTGCTGCTGCAGAGAATTGCTACTTGTTTTGAAACCTCCGTGAGTCACTTCTGGAGCTCAGGGGAGGTTACCTCTCTGAGGGCCGGAAACCTACCCGAGGAAATGGGGCCAGGCAGGTGCAGAAAGTCCAACCTGTGGATTTAATGCAGCAATTTCTGTTTCTGAGTGTCCCTGGCAATTCAGTTCACCTGTTTCTTTGTACCCATGGAAGGGACTTAATTAAATGTCTCACCTCTTTCCAGGGAGTTGTGACTGGAGAACACTAGGGGAAACCCAACCATATTCTGCATTTTTTAAAAGATTTATTTATTGATTTGAAAAGCAGAGTTACAGAGAGGCAGAGGCAGAAAGAGAGAGAGAGAGAGAGAGAGAGAGAGAGAGGTCTTCCATCCGCTGGTTCACTCCCCATATGGCTGCAGTGGCTGGAGCTGGGCTGATCCGAAGCCAGGAGCCAGGAGCTTCTTCCAGATCTCCCACATGGGTGCAGGGACCCAAGGACTTTGGGCATCTCACTGCCCTCCCAGTCATAGCAGAGAGCTGATGGGAGTGAGCAGCAGACTCGAACCAGCGACCATATGGGATGCCTGCAGGTGGCAACTTTACTTGCTAAGCCACAGTGGCTACCTCCTGTATTGGGTTTTGCGTAGGTGTTAGGAAAGGCGGGGTTTTTCCTGTAGCGGGAAGGAGAGAGGAACTCAATAATATCACCACCCCGCCCTTCTTGATAAACATCTAAAGCAATGTTTGCTCATGGCACACAATGAAGAGTAAAAATGACTTTCAGCCTAGCATGACAGGAACCTCTCAAACACACTTGGCCTTAAAACATCATGAGTGTTGGGGGGGGGTAAAAAGAAATTGAGGCCCCAAAGAAAATGCCAGTTGATAAATATGCAATTAGCTGATTTAATTATTGGTCAGAGCAAGGCCCCCTGAATGGGCGCAGGTGGCTGCAAAGCTGGCGTGGGCTTTCAGCTCTGTTTATATGGAGTCAGAGCGATGCTGGTTACGTGCATCTTCCTCACTGCGGTAAACAGCAGCGGTTGGCTTGGCATCTGGGGCTTGCCTGGGTGTCGTGCTTTTCGGACTTCTCCATCCCACTTGCTCTGAGGCCTTACTCTCCGTGTGCTTCAGCAGCCCCCTGTCTTCACGTTTGCCCCGACAGTAGAACTACGCATCTGTGTGGAGTCAGACCCTCCAACTGTCCTTGGTGAGGTTAGTTTAAGTTCACTTGCCCCACGAGGTACCTTTTGCAGTTAGGAGCAGTTAGGACTTGCCTTGAGTACAGTAGGAAGCAGTTCACTGCTCTATGCTCCAGTATCCTGGACGTGATCTGGAAGGTGTCCTAAACACCAACAGGGCCCCTTCTGGATGTACTGGTCTGGCCGGACCCACAGTCTTGCATCTCCATCTGTGCGTGTCCTCGTGTGTATTTCCACCTCTCCTTGTTCCTCATCACCTGATAGGCAACTCCGGTTCGCCTGTAGCTTATGGTGTTGCCACAGGGAAACAGAGGCCACGGTGGGCTTTCGGTTGTATCCTCAACCCTGGCTACACAACCACAAACGCAGGTGCTCAGGCTCCAGCCAGCAGCAACTGAAGCAATATCTCTGGGGTGGGACCCTGCATGGCATAGTTGAAGAGACCCCCTCCTCACGTGATTCTGTGCCGTCTGAATCAAGGGCTGTTGCCTTACGAAATTCCCGAGGGATATAGCTTTGCTGCTGCTGCTGCTGATTCTGCCATTTTTAAACAAACCAAAGAGAATTTCCATTGCAGTTTCGTGCAGAGTCGAGGTGTGTGTGTGGAAATCACGCTCTGCTCTTTTACCTTAATAACGCAGTGTCCCAGTCATGCCACTGCTGATGTTTGGGCTCCTTGGAGTCTGTCCTGTGCAGCGTCCCTGACCTGTCCTACTAGTTGCCAGTGGCACCCCCTCCCCAAAAGTGTCTCCAGACATTGCCAGATGTCCCCTAGGGGACAAAATACTTCCTCCTCCCTCCCTTTCCCACCCCAGGCCCCTATTCAGAACCACTGTCCTCAAATATAAACTCTTGTGTGTAGTCCCTTAAGCAAGCCTCGTGCTAGTTTGCTTTTCACTTATGAGTTGAAGTGCAGGGATAGCTCTGAGCACAGCATCGAAACCTTAATATGATAGAAAAAAGATAACACACACCTATGATTCATAACAGCTCATTATAGTTGACTATCTTAAGAGTGCTCCAATTATGAAATCAAAACAGCTGCATCTAGAAGTAGGCCCTTATTTTTAAAGGGAAAAGACAGGCACACCATTAAGCAGGAACTTTCTTTCTGTTATCGAAATTCTTGTGTAGCTCTGTCATTCCCAAGTTAGCTTCCTTAAGCCTCTGTTAGTGTGGCCAAGCTTTACGTTTCTTTTACTCTGTTCCAAGTTAAAACGCAACAATTTCATTTCCGTTAGACCCAGAAAAGAGAGAACACAGCCTGAAAGTTCCTCCAACCAACCAATGAACACTGCCCCACAACCAAAAGCAGAAAATGATCTTAAGCAATACTGTGCTATCCCCGCCCCTAGCTTTTTTTTTTTTAAGAAAAGAATTATTTTTAAAGAGTTAGAGGGAGAAACACACACACACACAAACACACACAGGGGGAGAGAGAGAGAGAGAGAGCGCGCTTCCATCTGTTAGTTCACTCCCCAAATGGCTTCAACAGCCAGGGCTGGGCCAGGCTGAAGCCAGGAACCAAGAGCTGCTTCCAGATCTCCCACGTGGGTGCAGGGGCCCAAGGACTTGGACCATCTTCCACTGCTTTCCCAGGCCACAGCAGAGAGCTGGATGGGAAATGGAGCAGCCGGGACACAAATTGGCACTCATTTGGGATGCCAGCACTGTAGGCGGCAGCTTTACCCTCTATGCCACAACAGAATCCCCTGTTCCGC